AGTTATGCTTCTGAGTTTTGTTTTTAATTTAGGCAGAATACAATTTCTTTCTTTAAAAATTAAGTTAAAAATCTCTTGAGAAGTTCATTTAATTTTGTGTATTTCTAAAAAAGTTATCTGAAACAGATGGCAACAAAAGGCACCCGAACAGGGTGGCTGTCCGAGGTCATCAGTTTCCTTGTCAGGGATGTGTGGGTAACAGTGACAACACCTACCTGCAGGGCTGGTGTGAGGGCACAGTGCATGGCACACAGTAAGCACTCAAGAAATGACATTCTCATTCAAATAACAGTTAAAAGGAGGAGCCAAGTACCAAAGGGAATAAAGCGTTAGCCCTCGAGTCCTCAGAAGATGCACAAATTCAGTACCTAACGAGACCCTTAGGATTTAGGCCATTCCTTTTGGTTTTATATTCCTCACATTAGTTCTGAAAATTTTAGACTACAATGAGGACTGTCCCTTTCTCATTTCCTTAGTGCACCCTGTGCCTTCCAAGTGAGGGGACATCAGTATCCAGTGACGGACAGCCCAGGATGACCAAAGTCAATAGCAAAGCAGGCTGTGTGGTTGGGGTCCTGCCTCAGATCTGACTCATCTTTGTAACCCTGTCTCCAAAACATTTTAAAGAGGTATACATTGATGACGGCTTAGCAAAACCAGCAAACGAACATTCTCCAACAGGATCTAACAGACAAGTTTAAATACAACTTTTAAATAAAACCCAATTTATATTAGGTGTGCTTGTTACACAAAGGAAGTAAACATTAAATTACTACATAAGGGGAAGAAAACTCTCAAAATGTGGTCAATTGTATACCATCACTCACCCCCAACTGCTTACCTTCTAAATGTGAATTTGGGGGACATATTTCCTAGAGGAGAACCCACAGTTCATACTACTAACACAGGCACAGGATATCTGTATATACTCAATAATGAGCCAAAGGAGAAAACCTCTTGTTCAAAATGAGGGGCTGAAAATCATCTATAATTCTGAGGCAGATGTCCAATGGAACGATTAGCACTTCAGACAAGAAAAAAGAAAATTCACAACTGCAATCCAAGGAGGTATAGTCTGAGGTCAGCAGCCCTGGGACTGAGGTCCAGGGAATGCCCACAGGCACTGGGAGGAAGACCATCCCCTCAAGGTGTACAAAATTACTCTGTGGATGGACAAGAGAGTCCAAGAGACCTTTCCACAGAAATGAGAATGTGTTGTATCTAATTTCACGAAAGAAGCGGATACAGGGGAAGGAACACGTTGAGACTTTGAAGTCCAGGGAACCAGAAAAAAATCCTGGCTTTATTATCTGGATAATTTAATTCTTCCTTGCCTCATCTGTAACAAAGGACTAGAGACACATTGAAGGCTGTAATATGGGCTAATGTTTCGTCTATATAAAGGAATGCTCAGTAAACGTTTGTTTCCCCCTTCTTCCTTTTATAATATTAACACCCACAAGCAGAGCTCACATTGCACAGAAAAATGTGACACTCACCTTATCAATCATCTTCATCCATTTTGGCAAATCATCAAACGTCTCCTTCTTAGTGATGTCATATACTAAGATAATCCCCTTGGCACTTCTGTAATAAGCTGAGGTAATGCTGTTGAATCTCTCCTGACCTGCTGTGTCCCTAAGAAACAGCAGCAAAAATAAATTCCCAAACAATAACCAAAGCAAGCAACTCCACATTCCAATGCAAACAGATATTACGCTTCTGTTGTCTACTAGGAAAGAAAGAGAACATGCATATTTCTTTTTTTTCCTTCCCCTGATGGCTACAGTTAGAGAGCAGGAAAAGTTCAGGTTGGCTAAAACTATATGAGATACAAAGTATCTATGTACATGGATTAACAACTAAATTAGAAGAATGGAGGTAGATTATGAACCAAGATCAACAAACTATATGGAATAACTTTTTCCTCTAAAAGACAATCAGCAACAGGAATGCTAATACAACAGCCAAATATATGATCATGTGTTTTTCCAAAAAACAGGAAAAAAAGTCTTAAAAATACAGGGTTTACAAAGCAATTCCTATGAGTTCGTATTGTAGATGATTTACAAAACCATTTATTATACCTGAGAACAGACGCAACACACAGGGAACACAAATTTTACACACGTGCCCCACCCACTCACACACCCAGGGAGTGGTAAGTATCCTAAAATTGTGAAAAATGGATGCCCTCTAGGTCACTGAGAATTCACTTGGGACTCACTAGCCTCCTGTGCTGAGTGTGGCTGGGGTATGTGTGGCAGTTGACCGATTAGCACTTCAGACAAGAAAAAAAATTCACAACTGCAATCCAAGCAGGTATAGAAAAAAAATTCACAACTGCAATCCAAGCAGGTATAGTCTGAGGTCAGCAGTCCTGGGTCTGTAGTGACAAGCAGGGCCAGCTTCTGGGAATGCCGTTGGCTGAGTGCTGCTGCCACAGAGAGCAGTATCCCAAAGCAGGCCGAGCTCAGCTGGCCACCAGGTCACTCCTCATATCTGCACCAACACTTATGCACAGTCATTGTTAGATGTGGTAGTTTTTCTGAACTAGTTACATCCAAACAAAAACATAAAGTCTCAGTTATTTTCAAACCAAGATTTTAAAAATTAGAAAACAAGAATTTTCATGGCAAAGACTATCATTCTAAAAGGGAGATGTGGATCCCACAATTTAACTAAGGATGCTAAAATCTTGTACATAACAAAATCTTATTATTATTACTATTTTTTTGAGTTGGAGTCACACTCCTTCACCCAGGCTGGAGTGCAGGGACACGCACGCTCATGGCCACCCGAGTCGACCTGCTGGGCTCCAGCAATCCTTCCGCCTCAGTCTTCTAAGTAGCCAGAACTACAGGCGCGCACTACCACATGCAGCTATTTTTTATTTTATTGTAACGACTAGGTCTTGCCAAATTGTCCAGGTTGTTCTCAAACCCGCGGGCTCAAGCAACCCACTCACCTTGGCCTCCCAAAGTGATTTTTCTCACATAAAGTGTCTTCCCAATATGAAAATGTGTGCAGAAATAATAAAGTACAAAATTTTTTATCTCTTACCTCATACCTAAAGGGCTAATATTAAGTTTGTAATACATTTTTTGACATTTTAAAATAAATCATAAAAGTACAAGGAAATTTAGTGCTGTAAATTATAAGTACACTTGACTATACTTTTTCTCCCTCATAAAACCATAAACTATTCTTGAAGGTTATGAGTCCCCAAACTACTATTCTCTGAGAGAAACTGACATGAATGGAGTAAGAGGAATACCAAAGATGTGCAGGAAATTATGTAGTGGGCTGGTATTAAACTGCTTTATTTTTAGTCATGATGCATTATGCTCAAGTCAGTTCTTCTAAGGCATTTTACTTCTAAATATTGGTTTAATAAGAGGTATGCGTGCTGTTTCCCAATTTCACAACAGTGATGCCTTATTGTCAAAAAAAATTCCTTAGCAAATTCATTTCCACATAAATCATAACAATTTGCTTTGTCCCAGAGGATGTAAGACTCCCTGGTGGCCGCCCCCATCCCCAGCAGGCAGAGGTGGGTTTCCTGTGTCCATCAGTGGACCATCAGTAAGCACATGATGAACAAAAGGTTACATGTTTAAAATTCAGAAAGCTGACGTCACTTCAAAGCAAAATGAACTTCAGCTTTTGGCCTAGAACTAAAAAGGGGGGAAAAAGGAATCTGAAGAGTGTGACAGATAGGAGACTGAATTCTTCAGGATTTCTAAAACAAAACACACCACACTAAGAGGTAGCTTCAAGTCAGTTAAGAAGGAACAGACTTAGATATCATTTGATTTCCAAAAGGAATCAGTGAATATTTCTTTAATTTTAGGCATTTAGGGATATACATTAATACTTTTTTTTTGAATTGGAGTCTCGACCTGGTGGGCTCCAGCAATCCTTCCGCCTCAGCCTTCCAAGTAGCCGGAATTACAGGCATGCGCTACCATGTCTGGCTGATTTTTTGATTTATTGTAGAGATGAGGTTTCGCTGCCCAGGCGGGTCTCAAACCCGCGGGCTCAGGCAATCCACTCACTACTTTAATACTTTTAAATCAAGTTAAATATTTTAGGGCATGGCTTATCATCCTATTATAAGTTTTGGCATCTCCAAATTAGGATTTGATCAAATGTTTTGCTTTGTTTTGTTTGAGTTGGAGTTTCACTCCGTTGCCCAGACTGGAAAGCAGTGGCCACTCTGGCACCGCAGCCTCGACCCACTGGGCTCCAGCGATCCCTCCGCCTCAGCCTTCTGAGTAGCCAGAATTACAGGCACGCGCTACCACGCCCGGCTCATTTTTGATTTATTGTAGAGATGAGGTCTCGCCAAGTTGCCCAGGCGGGTGTCGAACCCGCGGGCTCAGGCAATCCACTCACCTCAGCCTCCCAAAGGCGCGGGATTACAGGCTGAGCTACCGAGCCCAGCTGATCAAATGTTTTTAAGGTTTGTTTTTAAATTTTAGATTCAAAGGATACATGTGCAGGTTTTTGTGATGGTGAGGTCTGGGCTTCTATGAAGTCCATCATCTAAGTGGTGAGCATGGTACCCAATGGGTAGTTTTTCAACCCTTGCCCCCATCCCTCCTTCCTGTAGGAGTACCCAGCATCTAGGGTTTTTTTTTGCTTGTTGTTTTTGGTCAGGGATGAAAGTTTTTTTATTTGGGTGTTATCAGTCAAGGAGAATGGGAGGGTCATTCTTCAATTCATCTCTCCAACCCACTGAAGGCAGGGGATTTACACAGTGGGGCATGCATGCAGAAAACAAGAATTGGGGCGGGGTAAGGAAGAGAAGTGGGCAAACAGATTAGGTCTGGCATCTGACTGTCTGGATATGGTGATCTTGTGAGTTTCAGTTCCTTGATACTTGATACTCAGCACGTAGGCCTGAGGGTTGATTTCCTGAGAAAGAAACTCAGATAAGACAAATATAAATTTCAAGCTTTAAGACCAGAAAAGATCAATTACTATGTTTATCAAAAAGAAACAGAAACCATCAGTTCTAAGAGGAAGTTGGGCCTGTTTCAGTTTTGCCAGGTTTTGTACTTTTTATAAGCTGAATTGTATGTAAATATTTTTGTCTATATTCTCTTGCTTGAGGATAACATATATATATATAATTACACTCTTTTGTATTTCATTTTGGAGGGAGTCTCCAGTGTCTGTTGTTTCCATCTTTATGTCTATGGGTAACTATTGCTTAGCCCCTACTTGTAAGTCAGAACATGTGGTATTCAGTTTTGTTTTTCTGTTAATTTGCTTTAAAAATAGCCTACGTGCTAGAAAGAACATGATTAGATTCTACTTTATGGTTGTGTAGTACTTTATAGTGTGTGAAGTACATTTTCTTTACCTAACCTACCACTATGGGCACCTAGGTTAGTTCCATGTTTTTGCTATTGTGAATAGTGGTGCAATAAACATTTATCCTCTTTTGGGTAAACACCCAGTAGTGGGATTGCTGGGTTGAATGATTTTTTTTTTTTTTTATTTGGAATCTTACTCTGTTGCCTAGGCTGGAGTGCAGTAGCACACTCACAACCACCGCAACCTTGACCTACTGGGTTCAGGCAATCCTTCTGCATCATCCTTCCAAGTAGCTGGAACTACAGGCATGTGCCACAATGTTCAGCTAGCTTTTTGATTTACTGTAGAAATGAGGTCTCAAGTTGCCCACGCTGGTCTTGAACCCCTGAACTCAGGCAATCCTCTCGCCTCTGCCTCCCAAAGTGCTGGGATTACAGGTGTGAGCCACTGTGCCTAGCTTTTTTTTAAAGACGAGGTCTTGTTTGTTGCCCAAGTTGGTCTTAAACTCCCGGACTCAAGCAATCCTCCTGCCTTGGCCTGGGATTACAGACATGAGCTACCATGCCCAGCCTATTTTAACTTTTATGTATTTATTTTTTTGAGTTGGAGTCTCACTCCATTTCCCAGGCTTGAAGTACAGTGGCACCATCACAGCTGACTGCAGTCTCTACCTCCTGGACTCAGACAATCCTTTCACCTCAGCCTATAGAGTAACTGGTACTACAGAAGCACACCACCATGCCTAGCTAATTTTTAAAAAATTTTTTGTAGAGACAAGGTCTTGTTATGTTGCCCAGGCTGGTGTCGAACTCCTGGGCTCAGGCAATCCTCCTCAGGCCTACAGGTGTGAGCCACCATGACTGGCTAAATCTATTTTTAGTTTTTTGAGAAATCTCCACACTGCTCTCCACAGGGACTGATTTAGCTTACATTCCTGCCAAGAGTGTATGAAAATTCTCTTTTCTCTGCAACCTTGCCAACATCTGTTGTTGTTGTTGTTGTTGTTTTACTTATTTATAATGGCCATTCTTTGGCTGGGTATGGTGGCTCACACCTGTAATTCCAGCGTTTAGGGAGGTCAAGGCAAGAGGATTGCTTGAGCCCAGAAGTTCGAGACTAGCCTGAGCAAGAACATAGCAAAACTTCATCTCTACAAAAAAATTTAAAAAAAATGAGCTAGGTGTTGTGGCATGCACCTGTGATCTCAGCTACTTGGCTGAGGTGGAAGGATTGCCTAAGCCCAGGAGTTGGAGGCTGTGGTGAGCTGCAATTGTGCCACTGCAATCCATCTTGGGCGACAAAGACCACTATTCAAAAAATAAAAAATAATAACCATTCTAACTAGTGTGAGATGATATCTCATTATGGTTTTGAT